ATAGAGCCTGTTCAAGTTCAGTGATATTATTATTCAGCCTTATTGTACATTAGTTCATTGTCATTCCATCTCAAGCCAAGTCATTAGGTGGAAAAGAAGTTGTTTTGATTAGCACTCATGGTGAAGTTGGTCAGCATGAAGTGGAGTTCTAAAACACTGCCCAGATTTATGTACAGTTGAACCTCTCCACAACAGCCACCTTGGGGATCACTGAAGAAGCTGGCCATTGTAAAGAGGTGGCCATTGTAGAGGGGTTTTAAACAAAAGTCAATGTATGGACTGTTGGCTGGAACAAAAAAAGGTGGCCATTAGCAGAGGTTCGACTGTATTTGAAGAGGTTTATAGTGGGAGGCCCTATGCAATTTTTCTCTGTTTGAAATTTATTGTTCACTGCACAAGTAATAACAAAGCACTCTGATAAAAGGTATCTCGCAGAAATTACAGAAACCTTTTTCCTATATACAACCCTACCATTTACTTGTACAAGAGTCAATTTGGGCAGGTAAAGCATTAGGGGTCATACATGCCCTGCTCATTTTACTGTTTCGTGTCACATTTTCAAATTGACCAAATTTAAAATAGTCTGAAAGTACAGAAAAAATTTTGAACACGATGGAAGATAGGGAACTTACATGAACAATGATAATAATAAATAATAATAAATACTAGGATCAAATACTAATATTATATCAGATTTATTTATTTATATCAGTTTCTGTTTGTGAATAGTGTTGTTCTTGGTACATGACGATACCAAATACCAAAAAATTCCTCTCCTCTATCGTGCAATCCAGTAGCTGTTACCTTAATTTTTATTATTAACATAACATTGTAGTTTCTTTTGAAATGGAAATAAAGACTGTACATGACCATGAGTATCTCTCATTTTGAAAGAGACGGTTGCCCTAGTATTAATTGTTACACTGACATCTGAAAAATATAAGCAAAAAGTTGAGTCTTGTTTCCTGCCTCCGAAAATTCTAACCAAGAGTATTTTAGTGTACATGTTTTGTTTACAGTGGAATGATAAACTCTAAATTTCAAATCAACAGATTTATGGCAAAAAATCAAATCACCACCCTCCATACTGTACACCATAACTATTTTATGGCTATATCAGATTGAAAAAAATCACATCACACACAGGACATACCGTGGTATTGCAAGGTTATTTACAATATTAAACAAATCTTGCCACACTATGCAACATTTGAACCATGGAATCATTTCCTGGGAATCAAGCTACATTGAAACTATTGTACAGTGAACCCTTGCATTTCTGTCGCTGGTAATCAATCACAAGAAAATAGCTAAGAAAACAGAAAATGATTCTATTTCCCACTCACTACAAACAAGGAAAGAGAGCCATGAACCGTGGCAGGACTTTATTATTTAAACAAGCATTGACTAGTGCTATAATCTGCATCTGCCACAAATGTGTCAATTTAGGACTCGCACTGTCTCAAAAAATATACTAAAAGCTATATTTGGTGAAGCTTTGGTTTTGGCAACGCTAATCAGCTACTTGTTTGTGAAAATTGTGAAAATCTACTCCTCCTTCTTGCAAGGAGCTCATGAGATGGAGGAGGCTCACTTTCTGCAATTGTGGGAGCAATGAGTCTTGGATCATCAGCCTCTAGTGGAACCTCCCGTGCAATTGAATCATCATCATCAACTCGAAGTTTGAAAATCTTTGCCATTAGAATCCAAATGTATCCGTAGTCTTTGGACACTTTCACTGTCCTCACATCCCAAGATTTCGAGATATGTCCAGAAATGCACGCATTGGCGAAAATGGCAGAAATGGCAATTAATCGCCAAAATCGCCAAACTATAAACAAAAATTCAAATGAGATGGCAAAGGGGCCCTTTGCCAAGTGGCGATTTTGGCGAAAATGGCGTATTTGGCGAAAATGGCAGAAATGGCAATTAATCGCCAAACTGTAAACAAAAATTCAAATGAGATGGCAAAGGGGCCCTTTGGAAAGTGGCGATTTCAGCGAAAATGGCGTATTTGGCGAAAATGGCAGAAATGGCAATTAATTGCCAAAATCGCCAAACTGTAAACAAAAATTCAAATAAGATGGCAAAGGGGCCCTTTGGAAAGTGGCGATTTTGGCGAAAGTGGCGTATTTGGCGAAAATGGCGTATTTGGCGAAAATGGCAGAAATGGTAATTAATCGCCAAACTATAAACAAAAATTCAAATGAGATGGCAAAGGGGCCCTTTGGAAAGTGGCGATTTCGGCGAAAATGGCGTATTTGGCGAAAATGGCAGAAATGGCAATTAATCGCCAAAATCGCCAAACTGTCAACAAAATTCAAATGAGATGGGAAAGGGGCCCTTTGGAAAGTGGCGATTTCGGCGAAAATGCCAGAAATGGCGATTAATCGCCAAACACGCCAAACTGTAAACAAAAATTCAAACACGATGGCAAAGGGACCCTTTGGAAAGTGGCGATATTGGCGAAAATGGCGTATTTGGCGAAAATGGCGGAAATGCGATTAATCGCTGAAATCGCCAAATTATAAACAAAAATGCAAATGAGATGCCAAAGGGGCCCTTTGGAAAGTGACGATTTTGGCGAAAATGGCGTGCACTAATCTTGTATCTTTTCATCAGCCACAAAATAAAATAAAAAAAAAAATTAGAGTGCATGTTGGCCTCGTTCGTTCTTAAAACGTGTTTTGGCAGAAATGGCAATTACTCGATGAAATACCTAATTTATCAAGACAAATTGAAATGACATAGCAAAGGGTCCCTTTTGAAATGGCTATTAATTGCCAAATAGTTAACCACATATTAATATAAAAATGTTTCCAGTAGTATAATTGTATACTAATAATGTAACTTAAGTGTCATTAATCTGTTTTTAATGCTTTTACCTTTAATTGATAACCTCTTGTGATTTGAAATTCGTCCCAGACAAGAGTGTTTGTCGGGAATTACCACTTATAACTAATTTCTTGCTCAATTCAAATCGAATGGCCAACGAGTTGTATTCGATTATCAGTAAATGGTAATCTTCGTAATGTTCATGGCAACTTTCTTACCAAAAACTCCAAGATAGGTATCCTTAATTTTCCAGGCTTGTAGGCATTGTTTGAATAGCGACAGTTCAACATTATATGTTATGAGGAATCCAGGTTGATTCTTGGCTACGCATTCAGATAATTAGATGGTCCGTATTGCCTTGTATATCCATCCTGTTTGTTATAATGGCGTTCAATCTTACAAGTATATATAAACGAGCTGGTTCATTGCAGTTTCACAGAACATGAACGTGTAAGGTTTAGTAGTTGTTATATAGACGCGGCGGCCATGTTGAAATAGTCGATTTTGGATAACTACTTTATGTAAGTGGAAACGATTAGTGTCATTCCCAGCCGACTTTGGTGGTCACTCTATGTAAGCAAAACGATTAATGTCGTTCACAGGGACTCTCAGGCAATTGTTAAAATAGAAGGTAAAAAGGCCGGGTGACGTGTTTCGACGAGCATTAGCATTAGCAATTTAATGGAAAACGTATTGTACTGAGAATTGGTTTGGTGGTCTCAGCGCAAAAAAACAATACATTTTCTAAATTTCTGGCCCCACCTCATAAAGCAATAATGGGACACATTTTTAAGAACGAGACAAACATGTACATTCTCTTTTTATATATCTAGGTTGATGAAAAGATACAGAATTAGTTTGAATGGGATATGTTTTATGAAAGAGACAAACAAGTTATTACTTTGATCCAATGTTTATGTTCAATAAATGCGGTGAAATATGGGGCACAAGTGACATTTCGTGCAGGTTTACATAAAGTGGAAATAAGCGAATTCGCACATTTCAAAATGGCGCATGCAAGCTGCTGGACATTTCGGCTTTCGTTACTTTTAGGGGACCGTTTCTCTAAAGAGCAAAACAATTAAGTGCGAGAAGCAAGTGAAGAGTTTAAAACGACGGAAGAAGATAATGTGTATAGTGGAGAACCAAAAAAGAATGAAGGGCGCACAATGGTTATCGTGAAAGCATCTTTTAGCCAGGAACCATGCGTTTCGCAATCGCTTTTGATTTAAGGCTGCCTCACAATTTAATGGAACCAATGTGAAGAGAATTGTAACCAGTGAGGATTGTTAAGGTCTACATCGAACCTCAAAAGTTAGAGTGTCCATGGCAAGGAATTATTATGATTTCAAGGACTTGGTAGTTCTCTCCTCGAGTAATTGGTGGACTTGTAAGTCTTTGAAATGAATGAACCATACAAAAGCAAATGATGCTAGTGTGATATTTCAGCGCATCACATCACTTTTGGTAAGTCAAGCGACATTGAAAGTAAGGAAATGTTTACTTAACCTGTGAAGTACATGGCACAAATACATATTAGCTTAACTGAAACGACTTTCATTTGTTGTTTTCAGATATATTTGATTCACTTGTATTTAATAAAATAATGTTGTTTGAAAGTTAGGTAAAGCTGTTTTGTCATATATTTGATTCAGTTGTATTTGATAAATGTTGCCTCACAGTTATTGGGGCCTCTTATTAGGCAAGTAATTTGAACTTTTTTTTAGTACTGTTGCCTCACAGTTATAAGGACCTCTTTAGTTATCTACTTTGAAGGGGCCACTTTTGGCATCCAATTTGAATATTTTGCCACATATCGCCAGCCCTCTGGCGATTTTTGCCAAAATCGCCAATTTCGCCAAACTCGCCATTTTCGCCAAAATCGCCAGCCTCCAAGGGGCCACTTTTGGCATCCAATTCAAATCGCCAGAGGCTGGTGATTTTTCGCCAGTTTTGCCATTGCATGCATGGCGATTTTTGCCAAACTCGCCATTTTCGCCAAAATCGCCAGCCTCCAAGGGGCCACTTTTGGCATCCAATTCAAATCGCCAGCAGCTGGCGATTTTTCGCCAGTTTCGCCATTTTCGCCATTGCATGCATTTCTGGACATAAGTGAAGATTTCGTCCTTTGATTATACTTTCTTGTGATAATAGTCTCAGCATCCTCATTTGTGGTAGTTCCAATCTATAGCAGTCAACTTCTTCCTTGCTCTGAAAACCTTTTTCCTAGAAGTTATGGAATATGTCACATTAAGAAATTCTATATAACAGGGAACATGCAAGATAAGCTACAGCTGTACCTTGCAATAAGTTGAAATAGTGATTATGATAAAACTTCACACAATCTTTTTAGGTGTATAAAACCACTAAAAAAAATACCAAGAGAATGTCCAAAAGTAAGTTCTCCAATCCAGATCATTTGCTAGTAAATGAACCCAGCTGCTCAGACACACGAATAACAAGAAATAAAATTATAATGTTGTTATGGAGCAGTTTAACAGCCCAAAGGAGGATTTTAACATAAACATTTTATATGACCTCTACACAATGCAGGTCAAATATGACATGGTGTCATTTATTGCCGTTCATTTATGAATAACACATTTAACTGTTGGCTTAAACCATGCTGCACAAAGATAAAAAAAAAAAAATTCCAGTGAAATAATGATGTGACTTACGTGAATGACACTTTCTTAGATGTGTACATAAGAGACATGCTATTAGCACACTCCAAAGCACCAGTGTGTCTAAAGAAATGAAAAGAAAAATATCTTAATTTACTACTCTAATATTTGCAATGAATACCACAAACCTCATTCAATAAATGAAAGACCACAGCACAGGTTTTATTTTCAATGGATTCCACTGATACTGTTCACTTAGATAGGGCTGTCACTACAGTGTATGAGCATGTCCAACAGAACCAACAAACAAATAAACCCAAAAGAACTTCATAGCTGTTTAAGTCCTTGCGTACTAATAGCATGTACCCTGCATCTTGAAATCTAAGTGACAGCCCTGCATATAAGAGAGAAATGAGAAGTTAAACTCCATGTTCACCTGAATTTATATTAATGTAATTGACTTGAAACTCTCCAGCAGGGCAGGGTCAAGAATGATCTTTTGCAGTGCTTTGAAATCCTTTGCTCTCCTGTCAAACCATGGTAGAGAATGGTCTTCAGGTAACTCACCATGGTCACAGCTCCCTCCAGGCCAATCATGGTCATTGCAGACATGGTGCAATAGGCCAATCCATTTATCCTGCATAGTGAGAAACATTGATGTGCATTAGTATACTGTAAAAAAGAGGGATACTCGTCAACTTAATAGAGATTTTTTTAAATGTGTGAGACCATGTGCCCCATTTTAGAGCTGCCAAACATGACATGTCTATCTGCCCTTCTTAGTTGTGTTTCTTTTGTGATTATTTGTTCATAATATTTTTTCAAGTATACTTGTTTTAGTTCTCAATATTTTGGCTTGAACAAAGTTACTTCATTGGTCAACAAGCACATTCATATTCATAAATTATAAAGTGATCATGGAAAACAAAAAAAGGTTAGCAGACTGGACTATTACGATAAATTAAATTATATTTACCAGAAAGTGTAGAACAGTAAAACCCTAAATAAAATATATTTTTAGCTCTGAAGTAGGTTTGCGAGAGGAATGACTGCAGGTTATGTGCAAATTACCTTCATCTTCCTTAGAGCCTCTTCATCACTGCTAGTTTCTTTGGAGGCCATTTCGCAGCAGTACCAAAAATGGTTGATTATGTGGTCTGCCCACTGACTTACTTTTTCCATGTTCTTTGCACTGCCAATCTGAGATAAAAATGATAGTAAATAATATCATTTATGATAGATTTGGCATGAACATGTATTGTGTGTGAATCTTCTGTACCTTTCACAAATAAATGTTTAAAAACTGCTATCATTAAAATTTTAATCTATGTAACCTTTACCGAGAAATGTGGTGGTAATTGTTCAAAGGGGTCTGGATATTTTTACTACATATATAAACAGCTGATTTCAGTGTACGTACCTTATTGATGCATTTTCTAATGCTCCTGGCCTCGTGCCATACATCTAAAGAATGGAAAATTGTTGGAAATGCACTTCCTGGAAACCAAAAAAACACAACAATTACTAAAAAAAATGCCTTGCTGTTTAGAATCCCAGCCTTGTAAATAAATTAATGCTTTATGCGTCATAGACTTCTCCTTGAGAAAGAGTGATTAATTTGGTTCTTCACCACGTTGGGTGAGTAGAACAAGAACAAAGTATCTTGGTTAGGGTTCAAATGGTGTAAAAAATGTATGTGCTAATATATACTTTTGACTGTCTCAGTTTTGCTAAATTGCTTAATTTCAGCTGCAGCTGGCATTGCCAAGACCTACAAGATCTCATATTATTTAATTTGCATATCAAGTTGGAAGTTCAACTAGGTACAACTAATATTTTGTTCTACTTGTTACTTTTGTCTTGAGTCAACCGGAAAAGTTTGCAAAGTAAAAAGCAAAAGTACATTGATTTCTAAACTCACCAATCATTTTTTTAATACTTGCAGAGGCATCGGTAACGACTTCTCCTACCGTCAAAACATCTGTGATTCGCTCAAGTATGTTTTGAAGAGCCCTTTTTTCCATGTTAACAGACTTTAAAGACAGACTTTATATCCAGTGGTCATCTCCATCAAAAAATAACATAGGTTTTTAGCAGTAAACCCTGGAGAATCACACTGGCCATCACCCATCACAACAAGACTTTGGCCTTGCAGCTCATGGTTGATAATACCTTGCTGCCAAGTCCACTACTCATTGATAGCTGGTATGCAATACACCCTTTGTGCCCGACAAAATGTCGACCTCGATACAAACGACAAACCCAAAAACTTGAAAAAAATTTCAACTTGAGCAAAGTTGTTACCAGACAGAAGGACAGCACCACATGCCTGGAGATTGTTGGCCAGGACCCCATTGACCTAGTGGGAACTCCAGAATTTCCCAACATGACCTGCTGGACATTTCCACTTGATCAAAACACTAGTGCCACAAAGAGTGTGGCTCACTGTGGTTGCTAGCTGACAACCAGGCTGACGACACTTTTCAGCAAACAAGTGTATGAGAAGGTCAAGGGAACAAACAACTTTTGTTCCTACAACAAGAGTGATTTCCTTGCTAAGGCAAGCCTGTTCTTCTAAACGATTAAATTTACTTGCACGAAGGGCATTTTTCACGTAAGGGTCTGGTTGTAAAGAGGGAAGGGCTGTGGACGTTTCTGGCGAGGAAGGTGTTTCTGCTATTGAAGAATCTGTTTATGTAGCTACAGATAACTGAAGAGGCGATGGCGATGCTGACTGGTCCTTATCAGTTGCTCCAGACGAACCCATGGTACTTATTTCATCTCTTGATTCCTCTTCCCCACATGACATGAGAAAATAAAAACAATAAAAAATTAATATTACCAAATATTATAGAAGGAGCAAGGGTGACACAGTTGGCTAGTACATGGCCTTCAGTGTGCAAGGTCCCGAGTTTGATACCTGGTGACATAACATCCAAGTTTCTCCTTTTCTCTTTTCTGAGTAGCTTTGACTAACTTAAAACACCCTTAAAACAGAAAATTGATGGAGAGAAGGGGGTAAGATGAGTGTACTGTCACAAAGTATCGAAGTAAAATATGGTTGCTGATTACCTTTGCTTTGCCTTTTTTATTCTCATTAAACCTTTTAACAAACAAAATAATCATGATAATTTATCTATCATGAAACCACCACCAGGCGCTTGTTCTAGCAGTAACCCATAATGCTAAAATTTTGTTCTCAAGTGACAAAGTACATAACCAAGTTCAATTCTGCACTTCACTGACCTGTAGAACATGTCTTCTTCACTGTCTGTCGATAATTCACTGTCATCGTCAAGGTCCTCATCAAACTCCTGTAGAGCACCACCGAGATAATTCAAATCACTAAGGATGATGGAAAAAGAAAATACATATATAACTAAAAATAAACTTATATCAAAGTATTAAAGGTACATCTTACAGATAAGAATATTTACATTCACTAGCCTTATAAAAGACATCAGAAAACAGATTCCTATCCCCAGAGGTTTTGACAAGCACTACAGATCTAGTGAGATAGCTTACATGCATGTAAAACTAGTCATCATGTTTCAGTAACCACAAGTAAGTGTTACACTTTATAATTTTCTGAACCTTTGAGAAAACTATGTGTCTTTGTTTTCTAGACTTGCTTCAAAATCTGCCAGAGTGCTGAATCTAGATCTCAGCCTGGGGACAACAATGAAATAAGTTCTAGAGTTTACATCAACTTTGATGGTCATAAACAGAGCCACAAAGAAATAATTCTATCTGAAAAGAAAAAACAAAACAAACAGCAACGTACAATGTTGGATCATCACTGTCCCTACTTGTGTCGCTGTATGAATCACTGTCTTGATCATCCTTATTGTCTAAAATAGTGACCTCTCCTTCCTCTACAATGAAACTCGTATCACCAACAGTGGTTACTTCACTGCCAGTGACATCAACGTCTGCATCAAAACTGAAAAGGAAGCAACAACCAACAGCTGAAAGATCTGGATAACACAAAATGTTGCACAACATCTTTTCCATTGATGTGATGTATATGTATATGTATCTCCAGTATTACAGCACACAAAATTCACCTAATACGGTGTATAAAGATGAATTTAGTGATTATCTTTTGCTTGTCTTGAAACTCACTGGTTAAAGTGATGCAAGCAGTGACAGGATGATCATAATGATCATAAAATTCGTGACAGACAAATAATTTGCAAACAGAAATGACTGTGTCAAAATCAGCAACTGATTAATAGCCTATGTCTTCCATTCACCCATAAGGCTAGCAGAGTAGTATTATAAGCAAAGAACTAATGTAAGGTATCAAAGACAAGTTTCTCAGAATTAGGATTCATATACATAAGTGACTGCATGGTGAATTATATAATCAAAGTACCTGCTGTTCTGTAAAACTACGGGAGTTTTCTGCAGTGGCACGTCTCGAGACTTGGAAGGAGTAGATGTTACTCCAGGATAAAAAGGATCTGTACCAAAACAACAAATGACTACATTGTAATGTCAACATCTTCGAAGACTAGCCAAAAAACATAAAGCAACTGCAAAACGAAAGCAAATAGATAGCTTATAAGGAAGAGTTTCCGTAAGTGAACAAAGATTACCTTGAATTTCGCCAGACGATCCCAGATCAAGATGCTTCCGCGGGCTTTGAACACTCAAAGGAGCTTCTTTGGTCGTAGTTACTAAAACATGGAACGACCTAAAACCACCTAAAACCATCTACAACCACCTAAAACCACCTACAACCACAGCAAAAAATTCAACAACCATCTACAACCACCTCAAAAACATCTACAACCACTCGCAAACAATCTAAAACCATCTAAAACAAGGTATAAATGTCTGAAATAAGGCGAGATGACAACATGTCACGAACATGAAATACGAGAATCGAACAAAACATCCACTTCCCCTTAAAATCTTACTCTCCCTGGTCCTTTGTATCATCAACCATTGGCTTAAGTCACGAAATGAAATGCGAGATCACGCTAAGTATATTAAAAGACTTAAAAAGAACTTTACAAAATGAACTATCAAGTCACAAAAAATAATAAGATAAAATAACAAAATCATAGTCGAAAGACTGACTTGATTTGGCTTTTACTACCCTGGGTATCAATGAGACGTTTTCCTGTGTCATCACGCAAGGCTAAACTCCCTTGTGTCACGACACAGGAAACGGAAACTTGTGGGTGTAATCATTGTTAAAAATGTTATTTTAAAAAATCTATAATGCAATGGATTCAGAAGAAAACAAGTTAAGACGAGCCGAAATTAATAAAAATGGGTTGAAAAATTTTAATAGTGAATGATTGTATTTAAAGTAATTTACCTGGATTTTTATATACCTTTATTATGTTTTGGAACCCAAATTTCACCCCGGCCCTCTTCTTGGGAGTGACAGGATATGCGCGCTTCCTATTTTCGCTTTGCTCGTTGTAAATACGTCCCCACTATACTATCTGAGAGCCTGGCACAGGCTAGAGTAGCTGGAACTTTACGAGCTAAAATGGAACGAAAAATTTGTTCCCTCCCCGCCAAGGGACGTTACTGGTGAGAACGTTTTGATTCATTTTGCTGAAAAGAATTATCAGATATCATTATATAATGTTTTCTAATTCTTGTAACTGTAAACGGGTTAATAGCTGTATAAAATCAGGCTCTACAAGTGAGACACGTTCACACTAGACTAAAGGATGCTGCGGGACTACATACATTTGTGTGAAACTATTTCAGACATTTATACCCTGTTTTAGATGGTTTTAGATTCTTTGCGAGTGGTTGTAGATGTTTTTGAGGTGGTTGTAGATGGTTGTAGGTGGTTGTTGAATTTTTTGAGCTGGTTGTAGGTGGTTTTAGGTGGTTGTAGATGGTTTTAGGTGGTTTTAGGTCGTTCCATGTTTTAGTAACTACGCTTCTTTGGTTCCACGGCCACGCACTCCACTTTTGGACGCCACAATCCCAAGCAAACTAGAGGGAGAGAAATATGTTTATGATACGTGTATAAACTAAGGGGGGAGAAAAGATATTATGTTAAATGGATAAAACTGAAGTGACTTACCCCGCTCTTCGTCGCATCTCCAAGGACAAGAGATGTTGAGCGAAGGCCGTGTCTGACGAATACACACACATACACTTCATTTTCCTCCAGCTGTCATAAACATCTCTCGCCACAGATATCCATCTGTGATCCTCATTCCACTGTTTCTTTGCCTTTTTCTCTCTTCCTCTGGATACCAACCGGCTTTGAGGCGAAAGCAGCATCCGTCCCGAGCCGCTTCGTACACCTCCCCAAGAACCTTCTGGCGTCAACATCCAATTTCTCAATGAATTTTTAAAAATATACACATATACACCACTAGAATCGCCCAAAGATGATCAAGTATTCTTTTTACAAGGTTTCAACGAAGTTCGCTAGCTGAAAGGGGACGATGGAAAGAGATTTACTTCCCTGACAGTAAACTTGAAAAACCTTCCGCCGGAGAGAAATCAAGATGCCGCACATGCACAGAAGCATGTCACAGTCCCTTTAAGTAGTTGTTTTAAAAAATATGCAAGTTGTGATCCGATTCGATTCTCACAAGCAAATGATTGAATATCAGTTTATGGAACAGGCCATCTGATAGGGTGAGAGAAAAAATCAGAAATTGTGCGATATTTTCCGGGAAGATTGTACGCTACAATAGGACTATTTATGCGATAAATTATGCGATTTTTTCAGGGCTAATTTACATTGTTTTACCAGGTTTCAAAGGAGAAAAACCACTTTAATGTTGTTTAATGAGCAATTTGAATGTAAACGAATAATAAAACATCTATTTAAAACAAAATAGTTTAATTTGTCCGATTATTTTGACCCACAAAAGAAAAAGGACACTTACCTAACATTACATCGTGCCCTTACACCGCTGACCACACTGCTTGTCTCTGAAATCAAAATGGCTGCCCAGATATCGCGATCGAAGGTTTTAGATGTCTTGCAAGGAATTCTTTAGTGGTAAATCACCTTAAATAACATTAAGATTAGGAAAATGTTTAATTAAAGTTAGAATTCATTGTTTTCTTTCCTTGAATTTAGCATTTTTTTACGAATTATGCAATTTTCCTCAAATTGTGTGATCGGATACAATTTGAAGTCAATTGTGCGAGATCACACCATCGCGTAATGCACCTATCAATGTAAACCCCGTGGGGGGGGGGGGTAAGGGGGGGGGATTTGACAAATTTTAAACGTTTTTGATCAAATTCCCCAGGGTGGGAAACGAAAGGTCAATCAAAAGTGTCAAAAAAGCCTCCACCCCAGGGGAAAAATCTATACAAACAATACTATAATACTGTATAAAACGAATTAAAAGAACATTTCAAAAGTACGTCCTTACTAAACGTAAGCTCCGTTAAACTACTCACTGTAATTTAAAGTATTTTCTCTCTCCACTGGCATCTCTTATTTTGAACAACAAAATCACTCTAGGAAGATTGACCATGCTATTATAATATTAATGAAACGTAAAATGCTTTATAACATCTGCTCAACATGTCGGAACAGGTCAGATCAGTGACCCGTAAAAAATTCTCTGACTTTCATGGTGGAATTCGATTTCAATCGAGTTTTACAATCAGATGGGAACTTGAAGATAAAAACTTTCTCAAAATAGACATTATCTGTTTAGATGACAGTTTAAAGTATCGGATTAAGGCGATTAAAACAAATGAAACCTTCACACCTTTCTCCAACAGCATGACTTTCAGAAAGCCTCGAGGGACGGACTTGGTAACCGCTTCTGAATTGATACCAGGCTTCTGTCGGTCAAAGTCAAATGTCCCTACCCGGGGTCGCTTCGCACGATCAAAAGCCTGACAGGGGGATAGTCTAAGGCATCAAATCCCCACCCCTTGCCCGCACTCCCTCCCCACGGGATTTACATTGATAGGTGCATAATATCAGATGGCCTGATGGAAAAGTATAATAAAGTATACACAGTTTTTGTTTTCATGGGCCATGCATTTTGGAAAGAAAACATTTAAGGGACGGTTCATTATTTATGAGGATGACCGGTTCGGGAAAAAAATAATAGCTATCCTCTTTCTTTCTAAAGCCTGCCCAAGAGGCATTTTGTTTTTTCGTAGCCCGTTCAGTATTTGGGGTCAAATTTTTCAAAGCCCGTTCAAATTGAAGTGAGTACCTTGTGAATTCAATGTTTACTTATGACTAGAGCAACTAGTGCATGTTCGGATCAAATACACAACTGTTCGCCGTTCGAGTCAGCAAACGGCTATCAAACGAGTTCAGTGATTACAAACAATAATTTATTAACATCTGTGAAAAGTGCACGATAACAAATGCCATCCAGCTTGAGGCATTTCATCGTTTGCCTAATAAGTGAAAAAGTCCTAAATATATCTTTGAACACGGATATGATAACCATTCGTATTAAATGACTTGCAAGAAGCGTTTGGAGTTTTCCAACCTCTCCAAATAGAACTTCTTGTGGAGTAACGTTTCCCTTGAAAGTTTTCGACATTTTGTTAAAGGAATAAGTTTTCACAAACATGTTTTTAAACATGTTCGCGAGACGTTCACGAGGACATTCAAAACTTTGCTCCAGGTCTCTGTTGCAGCAGCAAGACATGGGAAGACTGGTAACTAATGTCCACAGGGCATGAAAAAATGAAACGGATTTATACTATAGTGTTTCATATTAGGTTCTGTTATAGCGAACCGAATTAATTTTTTTAAAAAGTCAACTGTTTGCAAACTCAATCAAAACCATAAAATTCCTCCTCATCTGTATCACTTTGAAAGACAAACCATATCTTTTCACTTTCATCAATGCTATAACGTTCCCGTTCACGTGATGAAGTCACGTGAGGAAGGAAGGTTTTTTTTGCCGAAGACGCGGTCAAGATAGATGAACGACTCGAAATCATGCGTGAGAAAGTAAAAACTTTTAAAGGATATACTTCCCCTTCCCAGGCTTCAGACGAAGATTCTGATTAGCTTTATCATTGTTCGATCAGTGAAAATTAACACAAGACGCTAGGCATCAAAGACTATGCGGACTGCTCAGTTGTTTTTTAAGTATGAATGAACAGCTTTATAATGTCACAGCTTGTCACATTTACAAGATACAAAAATTGTTCACGTTTTTAAATAATAAAAGTTTATTTCCGAGACAGATAAGAATGTAAACCTATTTTTGCATGAAATAAACGGAACTTGGCTGGCAGACTCCGCGGCACTGTGGTACGTGCAGAAAAAATATTTTCAATTCAGTAGGAGTTGCAACTTGAGATCCTCGATCAAAACATCTTGTTTTCTTGTGTACAGTCTGGCGGAGTCCGAAGATTTAATATTCCAACCGTTGGAGTTCACTTTGATTAAAATCCTTGTCCATGCATCATTTGAAATTCTAATTTGATTACAAGCTCTGAAATGTCAAGGAATATAAACAACTATAAAAGAGCAGCTCACAAAGTACATTTGTGTCATTCCGTGGCCTGTCAAAATTCTCGAGTGTTCGATCGCAAAGCGTGAGCTTTTTCTTGCGGGTACATCCCTGCATTACCAAAAATATTGTAGCAATATTTATTTGATATGAAAGTACGACAATTTTCGGGTGTACGAAAGTACGGGTGAATTTTCAACGACGAATACAGTTTCCATGCGTTGTTCTCATCAAACGACTGCCGCCTTTCTACCACAATTTAGTTTATGTTGATTTTTTTTAAAGCCCGTTCTCTTTGTTCAAGAAAAAAACACAAAGCCCATCACCACGGCAAGAAAAATTTTCAAAGCCCGTTCGGTTTTTTCCTGACCCGGTCATTCCCATAAATAATGAACCGTCCCTAAGACACTGGTAAAATTATTGGAAGCAAACATTTTAAATTGTTGTCTAAATATAACAACAGTTTGATTCGCATAAAATAGGTCTTAAAATGAGGGAAGGACGTTTCAGAGGACTTACCTCCTAAATTTCCCAGCGAGGTAGGTCCATGTTCCTCACTCCTCCCCCACACAATTGTGCCTCTGGCGCATGTTTTTTGCTTAAACGGCCAGGATTGGTCCCTCACCTGCTAAGCAAAAATTTAGAGAGAACACTGCCCTTGGGTTATCCCCAGAAATTCTAGAATGAACATTTTTTTCAAAAAAGAGAAGTTTTCTTCTTACTGGTGTTAAACAGATGCAACCTGCATTAACTTTAAATTGCCACAAACTGGTACAAAACATTAAAACAAGAAAACATGTATCTTGTGATGAATGTGTGTACACCCGGAAGATATCACAATCAAGTGGATTGAGTGTATGTTTATTTCTGTGATCTTGAATTTGAGCCTTTGAGGTCAGCAGTCGCTCCCAATCTTATGAGCTTCAAAAATTAAAATGGCATTTTGCAGTCAGAAAAAACATGTTTTACATTGAATGGACAAAATAATTTATGAGGCTGTTTTTACAAGAGAAAAAAATGATGTTTTGTATCTTTAATGGCTCTGGAGTATTATGTACAGCCTACATTGCCAGATTGATGGATGCTTGTCTTGTATCCTGCTCCCGCGGTTGTCAGCAGCCTTGTCAGTTCGTGTTTTATTTTTGAACTAATTAAGTCCATAAAATAAGCGTTTTCAAGGAATTCAATCTCTTCTGTCCCCTGTGGAAATTCCAGATCTAACCCCTCCCCCCCCCTCCACTTTCATTAATTCCAATCATAAGTATCCCCCAGTGCCTTTGGATTTCCAGGTCAAAGAAACCCCCTCTTACCCTTGGAATTCCATAAAGCCATCCATGGTATGGTACACACATGTATGGATATTTTCTGGAATAGCCCAATATTACAAACATTGCTTTCAAATGAGAATTATACGATTGAGAATCTCAAAGTCTTCCTTACATTTCCAAATGCTAATTATAACATCACCACTTGAAAGCAAATCTAACTCAATGTTTATGCTATATATTGAGCCATGTGATGAAGTCATGCCATTAATAATCCACACCACATGGTTTACAAACCATAATACAAACAGCTAATCTATCTGGAAAGAATAAGCATGTCAAGGAATCCCACTGAAAAAAAACTGCTGAATTGCCAGTGTGGTTGACCAGTAATGTGGATGATTGGAAAAAAATGAAAGAAACATTGTTTAATTGACATTATCATTCATTCAAAATATTTCCCCAATTCTGATTGGCTAAAAGCACACTCGTAATTCACCATAACCAGCTACTGATGACCAAATTCAAAGAATTTTGTATTTAATGAACCAATGACGGCAAAAGTACAGCCTTTTTGCATGTTAATGCACCATTGACCAAGAAGACCTGGGGACAAGGTTGAGTTGTTTTGGTTGTGAAAACAAAAATGGCGTACATTTCACTCATTTCAAGAGTGAG